ATGGGGCTGTTGCATTTCACATTTACAAAAAAATATGTACCGTTATAACAAAGGTGGAGATATTTTGCTTGAGAAACAATCATAATTGTTTGGAAAATACTTGTGCAGAAAAAAATTGAGATACTTATGTAATCCTTAACAGCTGAGATAACACGATAATATTTTGGAGTTGAGATGTACAGGACATTTAAATCAATATAATTAGAATAATCTGAGGACTGAGCAAAATGATCAATATTGCAATATGGCTTACTTATAGTAAATCATATTTGTCTCCTAGGGTAGGATTATAGATTCTGACATGTATATTAGAGAGACATAGAAACATATCCATAGTGAGATCTAAGACTATTATTTCACATTGATACATGGAAGGATATATGGGAATGATTCCTGTTAAACAAGGATGAGAACTGTACAAAGTTTGATTTTTTCACTGTTATTTTGTTCTGCTCCCATCCCTACATTTGTTTGGTTTTGTCCATGTGTCGCATCTCATCATAACCAAGATTATAGGTTCCCTGGGGCTCTGTCTTTTTATTTCATATTGGTACAGTGCCCCACACAAAGGGCACCTACTGAGGCCTCCAAGTATTACCATAATACAAATAATGTAAACAATTCTAGGGTTCATCCAGTATGGTGGTTTCCATGTTCTTCACTGTAAGGTACATTAATTACATGGGATAAATCAAACAAATTGTAATGGACAGAACTCTGTGGTCTGTAGGCAGCAGGTATTGTTGTGTGTTTAGAACAAGAGATACAGTAGAACAAAAGCTGTAGTTAAGGTATTAGTTTCAATTGCTGCAGAGGATTGATGAGTTCTATGGGGTTAATGTTTAGATAGACCTTTTAGTAGGTTTTACAATTACGTTCTACTTAGAATTACAGCTCTTCATGCTAATTGTCAGCTCAGTTAGGGTCTGATCCAGTTCCCATTGAAGTCAATGGGAACTGGATCACCTCCTAAATCAGCAAATACAGCTATACACATCTTTGAGGTAACAGGACACTTCATCCTCCCTGGCATTTTTTACCTATTGCCAGTGACTTAACATGATCTCCTTTGACCGTGTGCCACCCTAAAAAGGTCTGAGAGCAGCCATTCCCTCCCTATCACCATTAAAAATGGACTGTTTGAGCAGGAGCTAATTCTCAGGCCCTCTTCCTTAGTTTGGTCTGAATCACCCAAAACTCAAAGCCACAAAAGAATAAATCAGCACTATTCATTTTTCGGAGTCCACATAATTGCGCTTCTCTGTGTGAGAGAGTGAGCGTCCTTCTTTTCTACAGTGCAGTGGAGCAAATTTGGAGAATGTCCAAAGTTAGGGTTACCAAAGAATTGAGTGTTTAATTAAAAAAATGTGTTTCCTGAATGGAAATTGAATTCTAGGGTTCCAAGCTTCCCATTTTCTTTCTAAAATCATTGGTGGTGTTTCTTTTAAAATGACTAAGCAGCATTGTGAATATTGATGGCAAGAGGAAAAAGAGAGGCCACGTGAGGGCAGCAAATACTTAGATTATCTAATCCACAGTACAAGACAGAAAGTGGAAAAACAGAGTATATTGATCTCCGATTTATGTATCTCATGATTTCTGGCTGTCTTGCATAGAGCTCCGTTACAAAATTATCACCACCTGTAAAGGAGATGGAATATCATTTCTGTGGGTCTGCAAAAGATCACACATTTTTTGTTCTTGCCTGGGTCCCTTTTGAAAAAATGTAAAGGATTGTGTGTGTTTTCTGTGGGAGAGGGGGTTGAACTGTGGAGTTTCCAAATAGGAAAATCATTTTCACATGGCACTTTTCCACAACTGTGTTTCACTGGTTCTGTATAAAAGCCTTAGGAAAATATATACAGTAGGATAACAATAACATCTGGTTTGCCAGCATAAATTTAGTATGTGAGCATGTAATAATCAGAAATGTACAAGATAAAGACTATTATAATGCATAAGCACATGAGAGTCAAACAAAGGTTGCAGAGGAAACCTTAATTCTGGCATTTCCTAATGTTTAAGCACTTGACTTTGCAAGCATAATGTTCTTTTAATATAGCAATTTTCTAGGTTTTTAAAAAAACAAGCTGAAAAAACAGAAATTGCATCATGTGGAACTGTATTTATTCCCATGTGGTTCATTAGCAGGGTTAAAACCTTTAGATCTACTGAAAAGACCTCTACCACTCAAGCTGACAGAGTACCTGATAGCAGTAGTAAATTGTCATTCTCTGTGTGGGTCATCCACTGGAGGGAAATGACACACCTGGGGATTATGCTCTGTAACTACTAGAGCTTCCTTTCCAATCCTGACCCCTAACACTTCTGCAGCTGGTCCTTTGTCCCAGTATCCCCATGCCTCCCCATACTCTCCCCCGAGCTACACACACACCATGGTTCTATGTTCTAGTCCTCTCCCCCCTTTCTTGGCTACTTGTTCTAGTCTCCTCACAACCCCTCAGCCATGGCTGCTCACTCTTCTGCATTTTAGTCAGGCATTTCCTCCTTTCTGCCTGCCTGACCCATACTGGGGGGTGAGGGGCATTGAGAGCACACTGAGAGTCTCCCTGCTCTAGAGTCCTGTGCTCAGCGCCAAAGTGGCTTCTGGCTGCAAGGAGGAGCAATTATAGGAAAAGTCCTGTTCAGTCCCTGCAGCTTTGGCTGGAAGATGCTCAGTACAGACAAAATCATTGTAGAATTTAGCTTCCAAACTCAAGCAAGTCTCTACAGAGCATGTGTGATCTGTGATTTTCAGAGGTCATAACTTGGTTAAATATGGATGGATTTTCAAGTGGATGGCAAAAGGCACACCCCTCGTACCAGAGTGGCACCCACCCCTGCCAAATTTTCAGTCCCTGTTTCAAAGTTCTCAAAGAAATGGCTGTAAGAATTTTTTTAACATGGACAAAAGAATATATTTTCCCCTAAGCTTGTTCTGAGAAATAACTAAACTGTCTTGGCTGAAATTCATGCATATATATCCGGCCGAGGCAGACATTCAGCATGGAAAACTTTAGCCAAATGGTTAAAGTTTGACAAAGTTGTAAGCAACTGAAAATAGGATCTTATAATGAGATGTATTGTGTAACCTTAACTATAGGCATTCCTACCTGCACCCCTATACTTTCTATGTTTAAAGGACTTAACTCTGTGGTCAGAAAATGTTTTACAAAGATCAATAATTTAAGTCTCTCAATACCCCTGCAAGGTAGGTACATATTATTCCTATTTTGCAGATGGGAAAACTGAGACTCTCATATTATTGACCAACAGTTTCCAGAACTGTCATTTATTTTGTGATTGTGTGTTTTTTTAATATTGTGTGTCCTTCCTGAGCCAATGAAAGCCTGATTTGCAGAACTGCTCTTCACTCACATCTCCAGCTGAAGTAAAGGGAGCTGCTGGTCCACAGCTCCTCTGAAGATCAGGTCCTGTGTCAGGCACACAAAATCAGTGGTCCTTTCTGAAATGTTGGCTGTAAATGACTTGCCCTGTCTCTCACAAGAAGTTTGTGGCAGAGCCAGAAATATAATTCATGTCTCATGACTCTTAGCCCTGTGCTTCAACCACGAGACCATCTGCCATTTAGACTTCCTGCTTTGAATGAGATAATACACTTGAATAGTTTTGATTTTCAAGAATTCGTTCATTTCCCTTTTCTTCTGTTTGTATTTGCCTGCATTCATACGCTCTGAATTTGTTGAGGTTCAGGTTTGAGTGGACCCCCAAAATCAATAGCACAACTCAGCTCATTTCCAAAGGTTATCGGTGTAAAGTCACAGATCCCTTTAGGTTATGTTAAAGGTCTTGAAAGCAGTCTTGGCTTCAGCTTCAGGTTTGTGATGAAGCCTGGAAACAGGTAAGTGTCCTGTGGTTCAGGTTTCATACTGAAGGTTTTGCACTGCTCTAAAGTTTAAGCTTTGTGTGGGGGTGTGTGTGTGGGGGAGGAAGCTTTATGAACAGGGAGCGCTATGTTTTCCTGGGCTGTGCATACATTTAAACTGCATCTGTATATGACACCAACTCTGCTCTAATCCAATAGGTCAGAAACTCTGTCTCCCAACTCTACTCTCTCAAATCTCCTAGGCCAACTACTCTGCCCCCCAAGTCCATTGAAATTCTTTATGAATTATCTATTAACACAAACAGCTGGTGTCTCCTCAGAAGAACTTTTCCATCATTGTTTCACAAGGGAGAAGAATATGCTGTACATCAGTGGTTCTCAAAGCTGGTCCGCCGCTTGTTCAGGGAAAGCCCCTGCCAGGTCGGGCCAGTTTGTTTACCTGCCGCGTCCGCAGGTTCAGCCGATCGCGGCTCTCACTGGCCGCGGTTTGCTGCTCCAGGCCAATGGGGGCTGCGGGAAGGGCGGCCAGTATGTCCCTTGGCCCGCGCCGCTTCCCGCAGCCCCCATTGGCCTGGAGCGGCAAACCGCGGCCAGTGGGAGCTGCGATCGGCTGAACCTGCGGACGTGACAGGTAAACAACCGGTCTGGCCTGCCAGGGGCTTTCCCTGCACAAGCGGTGGACCGGCTTTGAGAACCACTGCTGTGCATGATCAAAGTGTGGATTCTCTATTGCAGTGGTCTCCAAACTTTTTTGATGGCGCACCCCATCAGTAAAAATTTTGAGCACGCACCCCCAATATATGTATATTTATTTATGTTTAAATTATATACATGTACTACAGTACTAATATATTATGTAAATTACAAAACATATACAACATAGAAATTAAAAAACGACGAGATAAAGATGAAATAAACAATTTTTAAAAAAAATATTTTATTTTATTTATTAACAGTACAAAAAACCTTTTTGCTCTCACTAAATATTATTGTTAATAATACTATTTTTAGTGAGAGCAGTGTGGTTGACTATGGTTTATTATTTTTGAAAATCTTGGTTTAACACTTTGTGATACAGCCGGCGCTCAGGGTGGGGTGCGGGGTCTGGGAGGGTGCTCAGGGCTGGGGCAGGCAGGAGGTGCAGAGCACTTACCTGGGGCAGCTCCTGTTTGGTGCAGGGGGTGTGCAGGGGGCTCTGCACAGCGCAGCACCACCCCGATGGCCACGATTCTGGGATCTGCCCCCGCCCCCCCGCAGGCAGGGCCACCCGGAACGCAGGGGCTTGAGGGACTTCAGGGCCCCGGCCTGCAGCTCTAAAGCCCTGCGAGCCCGGGCCGGAGGACTCAGGGGGAGCCGCGCAGGAAGCGGCTTTGAAGGGGAAAGCGCCGCTTCTTTCCGGCCGCTGGCTGCGCGGCTGCCCCTGCTCCTCTGCGGGCCGGAGGACTCAGGGCCGCCCCCCTTTCTCGCCCCCCCCCCGTCCCCCCGGCAGTGCTCCTCCTGCCGCGCCGCCCAATCCATCGTCTTGCGCGCCCCCCACTTTGGAGACCACTGGTCTAGTGACATATGTGGTGTTTTAGGGTAAGCCACGAATAAAATGCACCAGATTCTATCACCAGCATAACTTTAATTTTCAAGACTCCATTTAAGGAAAATCTGGTGCAGCTCCCTTCCCCCGGGAAAAAAAAAATCCCACCCATAAATGCCAGCTCTATAAAGTCAGCTAATTCTAAGCTTCAGTAATGCAGTATAGGGCACATCACGACTGCACAAATGCTATGTTCTAATGAGGTTTAGGGGATTAATAACCAATTGGGAGTAGTTCAGCTTGTTGCTTATTTTATCTGCACCAGTTCTTCCATCCCTATTTTTGCAATTAATAACATTAAAAGTACTGGGGAACTGAAATCTGTCTCTCGGATACCGTCTGCAGCACTTCCTATTCTTGATTCACTTTAACATCCACCTTTTAACTCTGTTGTTTCTCTTCTGTGCATCAGTTGTGAAGAATGCATTTCATGACTCTTATCACCAAAGGGTTACCGAGTAGCAGAAAAGCACAAGGCCCTGGAGATGTGTGTGTGTGTGGGGGGGAATTTTAGGTGCAGGGTGGTGGTGAACTCCAAATATACAGAACTATAAGCTAACCCCTACCCATTGAAAGGAGGCACAGCAGTGTCATGAGATGCTGCAGACCGGAGACTGCAGCACTGGCTACAAAGTGGTCCAGAGCAGGATGCCTTCTCTCTTCCCAACTTCCTAAAGCTGAGATGTGACTTTGTCCCTAAAAGCCTGACCCTGCTCCCACTGAAGTCAACACTAAAATTCCAAAGGACTTCAGCAGTGGGGTCAGGCTGTAAGGGAGTATGATGGAGAAAATGCGTATGTGCCTACTCAGTTCCATAACAGGCTCCATCCACGTTTGCCCACAGACGTGGATTACATACTGGTGTATCATTACAAGCACTATACCATGCTACTCTGTCCTACTGCTTAAGGGGTTACAATGAAGCACAATGACACAGAGTTTCAGTTTTAAGTCCTGCCAGAAACCTGACCTCACACACTTGTCTCCTATGTCTGCGGGTCTGCGGTTTCAAGGGGTCTGCCAAAATAAACCAGAGAACATACAAAAAATAAAAGCCGTTTCACCTTGTGCTACTTGGACACATTGCTTCCCCCCCCCCTTTTCTTTTTTTCCAATCAGAATGTGAGTTAATGTTCCTGCATGAGATGCTGAAATCTATTGACTTCAGCAGGGCCAGTGTTGGGAGGTAGCAAGCCAGGCAATTGCCCAGGGCCTTATGAGGAGGGACTCAGGCTTTGGCTTTGCGTGGGGCTTGGGCATATTCATATTTGTACATAATATTCCGTTTTTTATTGTTGTACCTATATTACCCTTTTTTATATTATGTGTGTGTGTGTAACTGTATGACTATCAATTTAATACAGCTTTTAAGCCATTGGATATGCAGAAAAAAACAGTTGTTGTGGCACACATGGGCAATGGAGTTTTTACAGCATGTTGAGGAGGAGGGCTCAGAAAGAAAAAGGTTGAGACACCCTGTCCTATGTGACCTGACTAACCTTGCAAGTGACAGCCTTGTTATAAATATCCAAGAATCATGAGGTTGTCACTTTCCCACTGTCACAGCTAATTAACTTCTAGGAATAACTATGGGAACTATTTAATGTCACTTACCCAAACATGAACCTGTGATGAATGTGGGTACCTGCCTTGCCTGAATTAGCTGAGAAAAACCTCCCCTTCATTATCCACATATAGAGAAAAGGAGTACTTGTGGCACCTTGGAGACTAACCAATTTATTTGAGCATAAGTTTTCGTGAGCTACAGCTCACTTCATTGGATGCATACTGTGGAAAGTGTAGAAGATCTTATTATGTACATGTAGGTAGGAATAGCGGTCAGTAGGTTTCCAGTATAGGGTGGTGTTTATGTGACCATCGTTTATTAGCACTGTAGTGTCCAGGAAGTGTATCTCTTGTGTGGACTGGACCAGGTTGAGGTTGATGGTGGGATGGAAATTGTTGAAATCATGGTGGAATTCCTCAAGGGCTTCTTTTCCATGGGTCCAGATGATGAAGATGTCATCAATATAGCACAAGTAGAGTAGGGGCATTAGGGGACGAGAGCTGAGGAAGCGTTGTCCTAAGTCAGCCATAAAAATGTTGGCCCCACAGTATGATTTCAACATACTGATTTCCATGATTTCAACAATTTCCATCCCACCATCAACCTCAGCCTGGTCCAGTCCACACAAGAGATCCACTTCCTGGACACTACAGTGCTAATAAACGATGGTCACATAAACACCACCCTATACCGGAAACCTACTGAACGCTATTCCTACCTACATGGCTCCAGCTTTCACCCTGACCACACCACACGATCCATCGTCTACAGCCAAGCTCTGCGATACAACCGCATTTGCTCCAACCCCTCAGACAGAGACAAACACTTACAAGAGCTCTATCAAGCATGCTTACAACTACAATACCCACCTGCGGAAGTGAAGAAACAGATTGATAGAGCCAGAAGTGTTCCCAGAAGTCTCCTACTACAGGACAGGCCTAACAAAGAAAATAAGAGAACGCCACTAGCCGTCACCTTCAGCCCCCAACTAAAACCCCTCCAACGCATTATTAAGGATCTACAACCTATCCTGAAGGATGACCCAATACTCTCACAAATCTTGCGAGACAGGCCAGTCCTTGCCTACAGACAGCCCCCCAACCTGAAGCAAATATTCACCAACAACCACATACCACACAACAGAACCACTAACCCAGGAACCTATCCTTGCAACAAAGCCCGTTGCCAACTGTGCCCACATGTCTATTCAGGGGACACCATCACAGGGCCTAATAACATCAGCCACACTATCAGAGGCTATTTCACCTGCACATCCACCAATGTGATATATGCCATCATGTGCCAGCAATGCCCCTCTGCCATGTACATTGGTCAAACTGGACAGTATCTACGTAAAAGAATAAATGGACACAAATCAGATGTCAAGAATTATAACATTCATAAACCAGTCGGAGAACACTTCAATCTCTCTGGTCACGCGATTACAGACATGAAAGTTGTGATATTACAACAAAAAAACTTCAAATCCAGACTCCAGCGAGAAACTGTTGAATTGGAATTCATTTGCAAATTGGATACAATTAACTTAGGCTTGAATAGAGACTGGAAGTGGCTAAGTCATTATGCAAGGTAACCTATTTCCCCTTGTTTTTTCCTACCCCCCCCCCCCCCAGATGTTCTTGTTAAACCCTGGATTTGTGCTGGAAATGGCCCACCTTGATTATCATACACATTGTAAGGAGAGTCACTTTAGATAAGCTATTACCAGCAGGAGAGTGGGTTTGTGTGTGTGTGGGTGTGTGTGTGTGAGAAAACCTGGATTTGTGCTGGAAATGGCCCTACTTGATTATCATACACATTGTAAGGAGAGTGATCACTTTAGATAAGCTATTAGCAGCAGGAGAGTGGGGTGGGAGGAGGTATTTTTTCATGCTTTGTGTGTATATAAAAAGATCTTCTACACTTTCCACAGTATGCATCCGATGAAGTGAGCTGTAGCTCACGAAAGCTTATGCTCAAATAAATTGGTTAGTCTCTAAGGTGCCACAAGTACTCCTTTTCTTTTTGCGAATACAGACTAACACGGGTGTTACTCTGAAACCTATCCACATATAATGATCTGCCCAAAGTTTGCAGGGCACTTGCTAGGTATTCACAATACAATATGGCTAAAAACAGCAGTTAGATTTGCTTGAGGTTTACCTTGGGGAAACAAGAGTCATAGGAGAAGAAATAAGATCTCACTTGACTTCTTTTATTTTTACTGCCTAATAGAAAATTAATGGGCTTAGCTTGTTCATTATGTATCAGTAGCAGATCCGAGGACCATTTCTCTTTAGACTCCTAGGACAGCTGCTCAGGTCAAGAATGGCCAGCAGTGGCATTCCAGAGCACTCGGTGTGTTAGGCATTGGAGAGATTACTAACTGAACCACCTAGTGAGATTGTAAGAACCGTGAAAATAAGATCTGTTTATTTGTGCAAACTATAGAAGTTTTATCTCCAGGGTTAGACTAATTTGGAATAGAATATGATTCTCATTTTCTAAAAAACTGGCATGCAGTGTACTTTATACTACTGTTGTTACTATGCAGAATAAGATTCTTACCGAGACAAACAGGCGTATGATTTGTATGATGAAGACAGATCTACTGAAGTTGGTAAACACACTCTCTCTGCTTCACTATAGCACTCCCCCCGTGCCCAAATTCCCATCTGCTTGCTGCCTGGTTCTTGCTACAGATTTAAGGATACTGTACACATATCTTCACAGTGCCCTCTAGAGTACAGTATTATTTACTAATCTGTTTCTGGGTGAGAATTTACTATCCATAAATTTTGTGCCAGATTGTGTGGTGGCTTTATCACATGTCCAAATATCTTTCAGGGAGAAAACAGACTGTCTTTCTTGTTTAAAAAAAAACAAAAATAAATTGAATCCAGAACTGGTTAAAAAACCTGCATAAATAACAAACAAAAAACTAAAATTAGGTTTTTGTTTAAAAAAAAAAGAAAAAGCAAAGCTTTGAGATAATCAAACTATTTTTGATATCTAATCTCCAGTCAATCAGTAAGCTTTAAAGCAAAGCTTTAGATATCATGATACCTGATTTTGAAATATACGCTTATGTTGTGTAAAAAGAAAAAAATGTATGATAGATTCCACACAATACATTAGCAAGAAAGA